AAATGCTCCTGTTAAAGTACATCCACTAAAAGTTGTTTTTGCCAGTGAGGAGCTCAGATTGTTATTCTATAGACCTTTAGTTTAACCACAAACTGCCCTAATATCACTATCACTTCAGATCATTGTAACTTTATTCAGGGTGGACAGAAACAGAATAAAACTCATTGTCTCTGTTAGTGTTTCCAACAAAGAATCCTTAATCCTTAATTCACCGACGTAGATGACAAAACAGCAGTTTCAGTCGGAGCAGACCGGCTATGGAAACAAACCACAGAGAGTAAAGCTAATATGGACTGTGTCTGTGTTTGAGTCCAGATTAGTCCTTAATTTAAAATGTCCAGTGTGTATCTCCGGTGAATCTATGGTGACAATGAAACTCGCCCCCCAAAAAAGCCGATCTAGTAATCAAGTCATTGCTTTGCAAATCTCAAGTCTCAAGTTCAGCAAATGTAATGTCAACAACAACAGAATGAAAGAAACTAAATTATCTTTGGTATGATTTTTCCTATATTCATTTGATTATACACTATGAATATTATATTTATGACAATAGATCCTCCTCAATGTTACACACTGGAGCTATACAAATGTCTCTGAAACCATTTTACTAACTGTATCTAGACTCACTCAAATTTATTTTCCAATCATCTAGTTGTAGTCAATATTCTGGTTTGGTCCAGTATTAAACCTGGTTCCTGTTGGACTGCAGCAGTTTCACCTGTTCAGTCTGATGGAGTTAAAGTGGGTGGAAATCCTTGTGTTTCAGTGCAGTTTAGCGAGCTGATTTCCTGTTAAACCCCCCCTCAGACATCAGGCTGAAAATCCCATTAAAGTGCTGTAATGGTGCGTGGAGCCTCTGGATCTGCTCTCTGTGTGTAATTGATTGTACGCCATGAAAAGCTCGTCTGAATTCTGATTTCTCTGTGTGTCTCTTCCGTTTCATCTGTTTCACTCTCCGCTGCCTTTAATGAGAGAGCTGAGGTGATTTGCCTACGCTCGGCCAATCAGCAGCCGGGAACAGTAATGATGTCGTTAACGTTTGTTCCTATTCGATGACGCTGGATGATGAGAGGAAATTAGGAACTCATCCGGCCGTGTCTTTTTTTATTTTCATCTGCAGTCAAAGAGTGAAGCAGTACTTATAAAGAGGGAAAGACCTGATCCTAAATCTTAAAGTTAAGACTTAAAGCAGCGTCTGTGTAGCCCGGTGAAGGTTGATGATGTGACTACAGGTGTTCTCTCTGAGAGGAACTGCCCGCTGGAGAGCTCCGCCCAGAACTATCCCTCATACCGTTTTTTTTTTCTGTTTGCGTTCGTCCCGCCAATAGTAATGAATAAGCCAGCAGTAACAGGAAGAGGAAGCTGCTGTGTGTGTGTTGAAAGTCATGATTTTAATAATAGTAACATAGTTGGAAAACATTAATTTGGATTATGTAGTTGAGAGAGCGAGACGGAGGAGGGCTCAAAACATCTTTAAAATGTGGTTCTCTTTTCAACATGTATTAGCCTAGCACAAAGCATACCTGAGTACCGAGGCTCTCTCAACTGTTATTGGAGCACAGAGCAAAAAAGGGCGGGACTAAGGAAGGGTCAATTAGACGGGGTCGTAGCTGCCTGGGGTTCTCTGGAGGGGCGCCTGTGAGAAGACGGGACGCGGTGAGAGGTACCGGGTCTTGGGTAGGCTCACGCCGTAGAGAGTGAACCTGTGAGGAACGAGGTGCCGTTCAACTTGTGTTTTTGGAGGACAGGGTTAGCGCAGGGATACGAGGTTTTGTGTTGCGTATGTTCAGAATTTTAAATGTTGTGTAGATGAAACACTGTACGTCTCCTGACACAAGACACAGCTCCGAAAAATATTCTGGTAATAAAGTGAAACTAACCAATCAATTATTCATGTTTCTGGGTGGAAGTAAACTTTGATTTAACTGCTGGATGCAGACATTACTCTGAAAGTCACATTAAAGCTTCCAGCAATTATTGTGGGTCTCATCCTGCATCAGACCTGCTTACTGTGGAAAACACACAATCAGTCTGAGCCAGACGAGAGAAAGAGGAAGAGGAGGGTGATGAGTGTGTGTGTGTCTGTTTTATTTCAGAATTTCATAATTTCAGCTTTTAACATTTTACATAAATCGCCATTAAAGTCAAAGACTGAAAAATGAACAAACACAATAAAAACTGCTGCAGGTTCTGGAGCTGCTCGTTATGATGCTTCTGGGAAACACAAAAAGACTCTTAATCCTAAAAAAACTAAGATGGTTTCTTTTACGGTCATATTACCTGAAGATGCTTTGGTAAAACGAGGCCCTGGTCGGTTATAACGTGGTATGTTTCCTGTTTCTGTGGGAGAGCCAGAATTAAAACATTTAATTTAAATGTAGTTTCACGCTCACTGCACAGAGTCGGAGCCAACTGCGTATA